TTTATCGAGCAACTGCCAGGGCGATCAGTTGACAATGAAACAACTAAGTTGTGATAGTCACAGCAGAATTGGTGGCAACCAGAAGCAGAACGGCAGGTACACAAAGCTCTGGGTGGCAGTGGAATAACACCATTATTTAAAATAGAAACATTACTAATTTAATACAGGTAGGTGTAACCCACTTCTTCCATCGAGCTGCATTTCTTGTAAATTCCATGTCTTTTCTAACTCGTTTTGGAATGTTTTAGCATCATTTTTCATGCCGGCAGTGGCCGGAGAGAGTGTAGGGTAGGCAGAGAGCCTTTTACTTTTTTAACCTTGATTCGTACACACACACATAATACACGGCAGTCCTTAATTTGGATAGAAGTACAGCTTCTCAGCAGATAGACTCGGTGTGGATTCCCAAGTCTTCTGCTGTTTACTTTTCCCATGTTCTAAATCCCTCCTCCCTCACAACACAGCCAGCCACAGCATCCCTCCTCCCTCACAACACAGCCAGCCACAGCATCCCTCCTCCCTCACAACACTGCCAGCCACAGCATCCCTCCTCCCTCACAACACAGCCAGCCACAGCATCCCTCCTCCCTCACAACACAGCCAGCCACAGCATTCCTCCTCCCTCACAGCACAGCCAGCCACAGCATCCATCCTCCCTCACAACACAGCCAGCCACAGCATCCCTCCTCCCTCACAACACAGCCGGCCAGAGCATAAGATTTTGTTCGGATTTTTAACCCCGAAGGTTAGCTACCCAGGATGACCCAAGAAAGGCAGTACGTCATCGAGGGACTCTGTCTTATTTCCATTGGGGCCCTCAGTCTTGTCCCCCAGGATGCGACCCACACCAGTTGACTGACACTCAGTATCTACTTGTTTCCTAGGTGAATGGGACAACAGGTGTAAGGAAACACGCCCAGTGTTTCTGTCATTGCCAAAGATCAGACAACGGGCACTCGGTGTGTGAAGCGAGAGCGTTGCCTACCAGGCCACGGACCACCAACCATAAGAGCCGGCCAGAGCATCACCCCCACAACACAGTCGGCCAGAACATCAACACAACACAGCCAGCCACAGCATCAATCCCCCACAACACAGCCAATCACAGCATCAACCCCCCACAACACAGCCAGCCACAGCATCACCCTCACAGCAAAGCCAGCCACAGAATCACCCCCACAACACTACCAGTACAATATCAACCTCCGTACAACACAACACAGCTTCCCGCGACATTATTATAATTCTTGCCGCTTTCACCGTGTTACACAACTTATGTGTTAATGTTAACAGAACCTCATTCCTCCTGATGTGTTAAATATGTATTCATGCTGAAGTAGAGATAAGTATTTATTACTTTAATCTTTGCTGATATTTTCGTACATAAATATTCAGCAATTGTCGTACATGTATGATTGTTTACTCCCCCGTCCCATTCTCCTATTTTCCCCTCCCCCGTCCCATTCTCTATAAATAATTATTGTTGCCTCTCTGAGATGATTGAATAGGCAATCCTTAGAGATGATAATTCCGAAGGAATAGTAATTTCAACTCTGTTGGAATGATACCTTTGAAGCTTGCCTAGCTGCTGAACCTGTAATGGAACACTTGACGATATCCTCATTGCCCAACTGAGGTCTCTCAGCTCAGGCTGACAGATTTCAACACAATGTACGAAACCCATCCGGTGTGATGGAATATGACATGGTGAACACAGCTAGCTTTAGTTTCCAATATGTAACATATCATAGAGAATAGGGTAGCAGCTGACGTATCCAATATTGCTGAAACAAAAATAGGCCGTCTTCTGATTCGTAAGTTATTTTTTTTTTGTACTTTCTTTTAAGTAGTAATTTCAAAACAATATACGGGGCTTTTATTCAAAAGTAAGTATCATGCGTACTTACAGCAAAATAAGTTGGATTTTCCTTGGGCCGTACTTCACAATTTTTTTTTTACCTTGAATGAGGCATAATCTAACCAACCAAACATGACCCAATCTAAACCAGTCCAACTTAAATAAATTAAGTAGTATGGTAGTTAAGGTAATGTTATGTATTTTGACTTGTGTGTATGTTGGAATCTTGCTTATGCAAGTTAAATAAACAATACGCGTATAGTAATCCAAGGCCATGCTATGTCATTCACCCCACAACACACAACTGCTCACATCACCCCACAACACAGTCATCCACAGCTTCACCCAACAACAGTCTTTCACAGCATCGCCCCACTACACACAGCTGCCCATAGCATCACATCACAACACACAGCTGCCCACAATATCGTCTCACAATACACAGCTACCCACAGCATCACCCCATAATACAGCTGCCCACAGCATCACCCCACAACACACAGCTGCCCACAGCATCACCCCACAACACACAGCTGCCCACAGCATCACCCCACAACACACAGCTGCCCACAGCATCACCCCACAACACACAGCTGCCCACAGCATCACCCCACAACACAGCTGCCCACAGCATCACCCCACAACACACAGCTGCCCATAGCATCGCCCCACAACACACAACTGCCCACAACATCGCCCAACAACACACAGCTGCATCACTTCACTACACATAGCTACCCACCGCATTACTTCACAACACGCACCTGCCCACAACATCGCCTCACAACACACAGCTGCCCACAGCATCACCCCACAGCACAACTGCCCACAGCTTTACCCCACAACACATAGCTGCTCACGGCTTCACTCTACAACACAGCTGCTCACAGCTTCACCGTACAACACATTGCCTAGAGCTTCACTACACATCACAGCCCCTACATCCCGCCCCGTGGCCAGAAGCTGTGACTCGACTCCTACAACCACATTTAGGTGAATTAGGTGAGTACACACATTACTTCTACATTACACAGCCGCCCCCGTTACACCCATACCCCCCCACAACTGCTCAACAAACACCGCAACCCATGAACCTCTCTCTCTTTCTGTCTGTAAAGCAAATTTAACGAAAAACAAACTGTAAAAGTGTACATAGTAATAAAGGCTAAAGCGAGAAAGGGGAAGCGGAAAATAATCAACAGCTTCTCGTCTACCAAAGAGTTTGTGTTTGTGTGCGCACACACCACACACACACACACACACACACACACCACACACACACACACACACACACACACACACACACCAACCACACACATACAAGCACGCATATACAACAGGCCTAGTGTCTAATCGACATGTACCTAGGGCAAAATGGTAACTAACACACACACACACACACATATATATATATATATATAATATATATATATATATATATATATATATATATATATATATATATATATATATAATATATATATATATATATATTTCAGACGGATATGTACTGCGTAGCTACGCCTGCTCACAATTCCTAGCAGAATTTTTACGTCAGCTTCGATTTACAGGGCAATTTCTCCTTTCAGACGCACATGGAGCAAGAATTAAGCCTTGCTATTGACCAATAAATTTCCTGCGAGAAAAGACCAGCCAGAGAATTGGGACATTGTATAAAACAATGGCATAAACGATCATGCGGTGGACAGTTAAAAAGAGTGGCAGTATTTTCTTGCATGAAAGGGAATGGCGGCGAGATTATTGAGCGAGGGGAAAAAAAGATGGAAAGACGGACTGTCAGAATGTTTGACACGGAGCGTACTGTGACAGGACGAGCAGATGACTTCTTGGCCGGATGGTTAAGTTTATATAGGCACAGGTACACATAATTACAATTATCATACATAAGAATACACACACAAAAGCAGTACTTGGTAATTTTATTCGGATAACGTTTCACCAACACAAGCAAGCTTTTGTTTTATCATCAACTCTTCAGTATTTCCAAATCAACTATTGTTACTTTAGAATAGCTGAAAATTGCAGTATGCACGCTGCCTTACGTTCGGCAGGTACTGTCACATCTACCCATTCTCATTAATAACATAGAATGGAGGAACACTGCAATAGGTCTTCTGGCCCATGCTAAGCAGGTTGTCCATTCCCACTCTTAAATTTTTATAACACATGTTTAGTGTTCTTATCAATAACAGTGCTTTTAAGTTTATTCCACTCTTGCAGAACTATATGTCCATACTAGTGTTTTCACGTAGGTGAGATTTTGACTCAAAGATTTTTTTTAAACACTTATTTGATCTTTCGATTCGTAATGGGTTCGATTACCGGGCGGGAGGAGCCGTACGGACAGGTGTATCCTTGCACATTTGCCTCTATTTTCCATAGTAGTAAATAGATACCTTGGAAGTAGCAGTGTTTTTGTGGACCACATCCAGGAGCAGATGAAAGAACGACAAGTACGCCACACTGCTGTACTATCCTGGATTAATAGCCCTCCAGTATTAAGGATCCGGAGAAAGTCTTCAGGCAGTGGAGTACTATGCACACTCCGGAAGGGTAAGTAAATGACAGATGACAACGATGTCGTTATTAGAAGTATCCCTGCATCAAAGGAGTCTTCTCCCCAGAACTAAAAAAATGTCCTCGGAGCCACGAACAAGCACAGTACTACAGACACCCACAATAACACGCACAGAGCTCCTGACAGTCATATCAAAACTGACGTATAATATTAGGGTGTCCTTCCACAGTGATGTCGGGTCGTGTAATCATCCATATCACGAAAATCATACTTTTGTATGATGATTTGTGTGTGTATATATATATATATATATATATATATATATATATTATATAATATATATATATATATATATATATATATAATAATATTAGTGACTGAAGCTTGAATGTAGAGGTTAGTATTCATGTAATTAAAGTCAGGTATTATTCATTTCCCCGAAAAGTACAAATATAACAGGTCACTTAAAAATGAAAGAAAATTTATTATTACTTTTTTTATATTTTTGAGTTTGGTGTCATTCATTTTCTTAAACCGATATTGCCAGGGGGCACAATGTTAAAAAAAAGTACAACATTCTTCAGGATCTCTCTCTCTCCATACCTTAAGTCCATGGATGACGTGGTTGCAGTGTTCTTGGGGAACGTAATCGGTAATAGCTACAACGAGACCTTCATAGCCGTTGTCCACGAGTCTCAGGTCCTCTGGGTGTGCTAGAACCCTCTGGCTAGCTGCTAGCACAGCCAGTACAAGCAGAACCACACTTCTTTTCATCATCCTTAGCTTCTGCGATGCCATTTCAACAGTGGGAGGTGGTAAACACTCATCGAAATCCCTCCTTTTATATTTTCCGCTTACTTCTTCCTTTTTTTGGGGGGGATATGTCACTGCAATATAAGGAAGGACACAGGCACTAAAACAGTCGTAGTAACAGTAGTCCTGTTGTTGCAACAGTTGTTATAGTCCCATTAGGGGAATAAATCACTCCAGCAAGGTGTCACAAGTTCCACTCGCGAGCACCAGAGTTCCGAGCGACAATATGAAGTCAGGGAAGTATTGGATACGAGGTCTCCTGCCACGAGTGTCTGGCAATGCGCGTGTGAGAGCGAGGAGTGAACGCGTGCTCACACTGCCGCCTTTCAACAAGTACTGACACTGAGGGTCGGCAGCTAGAGGCCCCCACCACCACCACTGTGGCTGCGACGGCTCAGACCTGCCCGGCCATCGGCTCAAGCTCCGCCCCCCTTGGTTGTACCAGTCTTCAAGACCTCCACACCGAATAGGATACAGAGGCTTTTGGCTTTTCCGAGGGATCTCCTTTGAAAAAAAAAAAAAAACCGCTGCATTACTTTTGAAACTATGCGTTGCGGTATATCGTATGTGGAAACTACTTGCTCTAAGTTTGTGATGTACAAGCGCGTGTATGGTGTATATTGCGGTGTGGAAGGAACCTGAGAAGGTGAAGGAAGAGGAGGGCGACCATTAGGGGATCTTGGAGGGAGTGTTGGGGGAGGGACGATAGAAGGGGGATGCAGGGGGAATAAAAGAGGGTTGGGGGGAGTGGATGGGTTTCTCTGGAGTGTGCTGCCACCTGGTGGTACCTTGGCGGACTAGAGTGAAGGGAAGGGGAGGTTATGTGGGTGTTCACTTACTCTGTTCAGCGCTGCACATGACGTAAGGAGGAGCCAATGGAACAGGGAGGAGCGGGATGGATGTGCACTACACTTAATAATGAGTGAGGGGTGGGAAGCTCTATACACCTGGTCTACAGGAAGGAACGAGCTCTACACCTGGTCAACAGGAAGGAAGGAGCTCTACACCTGGTCAACAAGAAGCTCTGCACTTGGTCAACAGAAAGCTTTACACCTGGTCAACAGGAAGGAACGTTAAGCTCTACACCTGGTAAACGGGAAGGAACCGGAAGTTTTACACCTGGAAACAGAGAGGAACGCTTCTCACTCCTTGGTCATCAGAAAGGAAGGAGGGACAGGTACTTCACCTGGCCAATAAAGGAGGATAGTTACATCATTTGAGCATCGAAGAGGGAAAGGTACCTCACCTGGGATCGGTGCACCATTTGAGCATCAGGGAGGGACCTCGGTAACATAGAAAGGCAGGTAGCTCACTTGAGCAACAGAGAGGTACACCTCACCAGAGTAATAAGGACTACTAGGTTACTCACCTGAGCAACAGAAAGGAGCGAGCACCTCGTCTGATTAACAGGAAGGGATGGGTACCTTATCAGGACACTAGAAAGGGCGTATCTCACCTGAGCAACAGAGGGACATGTATCTCACCAGAGTAACAGAGTGGAATGGGTGGCCCAACTGAACAACAGGAAGTAGCTCACAACACCCAGATAACAGGTGTGAGCGCACCGCTTCACACCTGCTATTTTGCACTATATATTGCTTATTGTGTCTTAAGGTTACTCAGTATGTGTGCGCGCTTTTGTGTGTGTGTGTGTGTGTGTGTGTGTGTGTGTGTGTGTGTGTGTGTGTGTACTCAGCTATTTGTGGTTGCAGGAGTCGAGTCATAGGTCCTGGCCCCGCCCCTTCGCTCGTCGCTGTGTGTGTGTGTGTGTGTGTGTGTGTGTGTGTGTGTGTGTGTGTGTGTGTGTGTGTGAGTGAGTGAGTGTGTATTATTAATAGTTCTTGCACTTGTATTGCGCTTCCAAGGCGTAATGGGTTAGAATCCTTCAATTGTTAGGAGTGCGTGTGGTAGAAGGCGACTAAAAGACAGGAAGCCTGGAGCTACTAACCTTTTCTATACAACTGCTAAAAGAAAAAGAATGATATTTTTAAAGTTGGATTATTTGATATACTCTTAATACTATGAAAGGAAACTGAATATCCTAGTATTGAGCGAATCATATGTAAAATGGAACGGGATAATTTCAATGGGAGGAGTAAATGGAGTTAAATCTGTTGTAGCTGATGAGAACTAGAGATAAAGGTAGAGTAGATGGGATATTTAATGATCAACTTTGGAAAAGAAGGTGAGGGAACAAGTGTTTATATTCAAGAATTATGTCTATTAAAGTGAAAGTGGGATATGATAATTGACTTATAGTAAGTGTTGATTCTCTTGGGAGAGAGAGAGATTTTGAGACGCGTTAAGTGAATGTTTACTGAGTTCTGAACCAAGTGAGAGAATAATTGTTGTGTGGAACGTAAATGTTAAAGTGGGAGATACTGTTATAGAGGGCATGGCAGGCAAGACTGGAGTTCCAGGGGTAAATGACAAACGGGAGCTTCTAATTGAATATCGATAGAAAGAGATTTGGTAATCCGTAATACTTATTTTCCGAAAAAATAGGATATGTTTCAGACGTGTAGTGCGCATTAACAGCAATTTTGTAGACTATGTATTGGTGGACAAAGGGTTAACGGGTAGTCCTTTGATGTTCATGTTTTTAGAGAAGCGACTGACATATCGGATAATTATTTATTGATGTATACAATAAAAGTAAAATATAGATGGAATGCAAGTAGAATGACGTGAGTAAGAGATGAGTGAAATAACCAGAGGAGACAAGGGAAGATATAAACAAATGTTAGTAGGAAGGTCGAGTAGGTGGAGTGCAGGTAATGAGGAGGTCCAGGAAATATGGGATAAGGTTAAAAATTCTGAAGTTTATGGTTACAGGAAGGTGGATGTGGATGGGAAGAAGAATGGTAGATAAAATGATGACGTGAAGAGGGTGTTAAGGGTGAAAAAGAATTTGCATGGAGTTTTTTGCAATATAAAAAATGTATGTACGAAACATAGAATATATACGGAGAGGTTAAACAAGTGGTGAGGTGCCAAAGAATAACTAATGAAAGAATGGGTCAGTCTTCACCAGCAAATTTTTACTGAGACTAAGAAACCGAAGATGCGAAATCCTAAGAACCAAATGGACTTGGAAGTTAAAGTATAAAGAGGGAAGATATTAGATGGGGAGGTGGAGATACTGGAAAGATATAGAATATTTTGAGTTGTTAATTATTGATATTGAGAGGGAGACTGTATCATGCCTTGTCCTGGAAGAAATAGTATCTAGTAGAACCAAGGAAGAGCCAGAGGTGAATGTGTGGGAAGTGGAGGAGTCAGTATATAGAATGAAAGGGGAAAAAGTAACTAGAATAGATGGAATTAATAATGAGATTTTAAAAACTGATGGGGATGTAGTTATGACGTAGTAGGTATAGTTGTTTAATATATTCATTAAAGAATGGAAGGTACCTAAGGGCTGGCAGAAAGCTTGCAACATTCCTTTAAACAAGGGTGGAAAAGGGTCAAGAGAGAGTGCAAGATCTGTAGGGAATAAACCTGTGGAGTACATTAGACAAAATATATGGTAGTATTATTATTATTGAAAGAGTTAGAGATGAGACAGAAAGTAGGACTGCAGAAGAAACAGGATGATTTAGAATGGGTAGAGGATGTGTAAACCAAGTATGTACTTACATTAAAGCTTATAAATGAAGAATGCCTAGGTAAGAGTAAAGCACGACTTGTCATATTTATGGATTTAGAAAGTGAGCATATGATATAGATACATGAGCAATGTAGCAGATATTGCAAAATGTTTGGGAGTATATATCTAATGTTACTGCTTAGTTGTGATTTGAAGAGTATAAGTTCGAGTCCCTGACATGATAGCTAGGAGATATAAAAATGTTTTCGTTTGCTAATACTTCCCTCGTTCGTTTCATGTTTCTTTAACCATTGAGAGTTATTTAAAAAAAATAGAATCTTGTCATGTCACTTCCGTGCTTTATTGCTAATTACAAATATACATGTTCTAGCTGTAACGCAGCTAGATACGCTGGAAGCTCAGTTAGAAAGTTACAAATTAGAATATGTGAGCATAGAGGTGTATCATGCAGAACTCTTGCTAAATTAGCTAAATCCTCTTCTTCAACTGTAAGACAACATTCCGAAACGCAAGGTTATTTACGAATTATTAATAATTTTAAAATTCTTGGTAGAATACAGGATAAATTATATTTAGAGAGCTCAAGCCTGGGCTTATTGATTATAGTTCCGTTATTTACATTAAAATAGTTATGTTCTTGTTGCTTGAATTTTCTTTTTTTGTTGTTGACCTCCTGACTTCTGTGTAGCTTGGGTCAGTTCGGACTCAACCTTCAACAGGGAAGCACACTAATTGGTTCGTCTCTGGCTTCACTCTCTACTTTATATTTTTAACTTTTTATTACTTGTTCATGACTGTCTTTTATATTTTGTACAATTGTTGTAATGATTTTACAGATTCTGACATGGCAATGGTTATATATTTTACTAAAACGTTGATATATGCATTTTATGATAAGATATTTCATGCCGCTCGCGTATATATATATATATATATATATATATATATATATATATATATATATATAATATATGCAAAACAACCACTCTGAAAGAATAGAGAAATTCCAAGCGCTTTCGTGACTACTCACATTGACAATGTGAGTAGTCACGAAAGCGCTTGGAATTTCTCTATTCTTTCAGAATGGTTGTTTTGCATATTCTGAAATCACCTGTTTACTGTGATCTTATTGCATAGCTAAATTTCAAGAGCTTTCGTGACTTCTCACATTATCAAGGAGCTACATAGTTCTTTGATAATGTGAGTAATGTCTGCAAAACAATTGCAGGCAGGCGATCTTAACAATGCAAGACAAGCCACGGAGGGAGGTGGAAATTTTAAGCTCAAGTACTTTCACACTTCTCAGTGAGTCATCAGGAGCTGTGCAATATTGCAAGGGCAGCAACAGGAAAAATGAGGGAAAGTTTTTCAGAGTAGCGTGAGTGACAACCGTCAGAGATATTGTCTGAGAAATTACCTTCGCTTAAGATTTCTATCCCCCGTGGCTTATATATATACATATATATATATATATATATATATATATATATATATATATATATATATATATATATATATATATATATATATATATATATATATTACAATGAAATAGATAAAAAACATTTAGTTTCATCTAATTTATTGGTAGATTAAATTAACTGCATAGCTTACATAGTTATGTCACTGGGGATCCTGACTGCATCAGGGATCCAATGTAAATAAGCCTTTAATTACATTTTTTGGTTAATTCTTGGTTAAATCATCGCAATTCATCATTGATTTGACAACTGAATTGTCTGTGTGTTATGT